TTTGCTAACCATAGTTTTTTGACTCAAGTCCCCAAACAAGGGTAATGGCCTATATTCTAAGGCAACTTTACAGACGCTAACAGGTCTATACATCTGTTCTGTATGGCTCCTGAGTGAAAAGGGAAAGGTATCTTCCTGGACTTTTATTGCCAGAAACCCTGACAGCTGCTGGATCTAAAGGCCCAGGCCTTGGGCCATTTCATTTCAAATACTATGACTCTTTTTAGCAAGAATTATAAGATTGTGGCTCCATCCTGTCCACTGTCAAAGAGGGCCTTCTAAACCTAGGAAGAAGGTGATGTGGGTATCCTGACTGGCTGTGTAGAGAGAAGATACAGAGGTGGTATAGGCACGAGGGAACTCCAATTCCCTGGCCTGATCAGATCCTCCAGGGTGAGAGACTTGAGCTGAAACACAGTTTGTGGAGGGACCAGGATATCCAAGGCCAGAGCTCTACACAGAAGCACGTACCAAGTACAACTTCTAGGAAATATGTTGAGTGTTGGCCTTCCACCAGGCTGAACCAGCAAGGCTTGCAAGCCACTCATGATCCCTGCCCACACAGAAAAGAAGATACTCACGATCATAGCTTAGAGTATCAAACTAAACAGTCTCTTCTGTGCTACTGGGAGAAAGTTCTAGTTCATTTTGTAAAGGCCAGGGCTCTATGTACATAGGACACTATATTTTGTAAAAGGACTTCAGAGTAGTCACCAGCAACATCTTGGTCAGTTTGATGTCTGACAAGGAATTGACCTGATATCCTGGTTCCCCTCTAGTTGTTTATGGTCACATGCTAGTGGGGTTAGAAGCAGTGTCAAAAAGTTCTACATCACACCAGGTTCCTCCTGGTGTCCATAGGTTCTTTGATGCCTTCATTTTGATACCAAGCTCCTTGGCCTCAGCCAAGCCTTCTGCATCCTCATCATCTTGCAAACTCTCAAAGGTGACAAAGAAGAAACTTCTCTGAGATGGGACTGTGCCACTGTCAGCCTCCATAAAACCTCCACTCGGTGCTTCTCAAAAGTTTTGCCAGACTAACTGACCAACAGTAGCCTCTTAGGGATGTTCTAACATCTGTAGTTTGATTCAATCACTTAAATATATTTATAAGGCATATAGAAACAAAGTATACCAGTGGTGTTTTTAATTTTGTATTTGTTTTTCTGCATTATTTTCTTCTCTGACCTGTGCCCTGTCTTCACCTCTGGGTGTATAGGTTGTTTGGAATACATCTTACCAAGTTGCATGTGGAGTTGCTAAGTGCCCTTACCAATTATTGGAAAATGTATATGTTTGTCACTATTGTCCTCTGTAAGTATCTGCTTCAAAGTTCATTTTCAATTGCAATTTGACCTTTTTAAATTATCATAGTATAAAAGCAAATTAAAGATATTTTACACATGGAGAGGGAAATAGAAACTTCTAAATATTCCCTAGAGTTGAAACTTATTTAACTAAATCTTTGAAATGTCCTTCTCATCAGTTCCATGAATCACCCTCAGAAGCGTTTTCCTCATTTTTAAATATGATTTCTCTCCCTCTTCCACTGCTATTTTTTGGACTAATTGTGACCTCATGAGGACCCAAGTATGAGGATCGTGAATTCCTATTGTCTGTTCATGCTATGTTTGTAGGCTACAAAGCAAACTTTTCATAGTAGACCAGGAGTGAACATGAGTGAATGACACAGGTTAGTGATTGTGGTGCTTCTAATTAATTGATCCTACCCCTGATTATATAGGTTATTGTATCTGTTTTTAAAATTTAATTGTTGAGGTATGGTAGTGTTTCACACCTTTAATCCTAGGACTTGGGAGGCAGAGACAGTCAATCTTTGTGAGTTTGAGGCCAGTCAGGGCAACACAGAGAACCACTGTCTCAAAAATCCAAAAAAAGCTTGTTTTATATTTTGTGAATTTCATATAGTAGTGCTGTATTTCCATCATTTTCATACTTCCCTCTCCTTGAATCCTTCCTACCACACACACCCTCACAAATTCATGATCTCAGCTTTCTTATTGTACATGCACAAAGCCACACGTGGACAAACATAGATGCAGATGTAATTAAAGATTTTTTAAAGTCAAATTAAGTTAACATATTGTGAATATATATTCATTTTTCATGGAAATTTTTAAAGAGCTCAAACACAGCACAGAATGGAAGTGAATTTCTGGCTTTAAAATCAAGATCTAGACAATGAGTTTTTCAGAATGTTTTAGTAAATTCTAAGGAGAAAGTATTAAGATTTTTAGCTTTCTTAAATATTCGAAATATATTAAGAACCACTCAAAGAGCCTTTGAAGTTTAAGACTTAGTAAATTCTTTTTTTTTTTTGTTTTTTTGTTTTTTTTGAGACAGGGTTTCCCTGTGTAGCTTTGTGCCTTTCCTGGAACTCATTTGGTAGACCAGGCTGGCCTTGAACTCACAGAGATCCGCCTGGCTCTGCCTCTGCTGGGATTAAAGGCGTTTGCCACCACCGCCCGTCTTGACTTAGTAAATTCTTACAGGTATAAGGCAGCAACACAGGGCTTTAAAGATTAATCTGTGGTGTAGAACTGTTTCTGTTTTTTCAGAGGATCCAAGTTTGGTTCTCAACAACCACATCATAATTTATTTTAGCTTCATTTTTTTTTATTTTTTATTTTATTTCACTTTTCTTTATTAAGAAATGTTCTACTCACTCCTCATGCTATGCACAGACCCTCTCCCTCCTCCCATCACACAGCCCTGTTTCCCAAGCCACCCTGCATCCCCACATCTCCTAAATCGAGGTCTCCCATGGGGAGTCAGCAGAGCCCAGTTCACTGAGTCTAGGTAGGTCCAAGCCCCTTCGCACTGCACCAAGGCTGTGCAAAGTGTCACACCAGAGGCACCAGATTCCCAGAAGCCTGCCCATGTACCAGGGACAGATCCCAATCCCACTGCCTGGGTGTCCCCCAAACAGTTCAAACCAAACAACCATCTTCAGTGTCCAGAGGGCCTAGTCCATTTCCATGGGGGCTCCACAGCCAGCAGTCCACAGTTCATAGGTTTCCACTCGTGTGGCTTGTCATCTCTGCACATCCTCCCATCATGATCTCGACGTCCCTCAACTGCAGTATTGTAGATGTAACCAACCGTCTTATTAAATAAGAAACACAGAACCAGTGTAAAAGAGAAAGCCGAGAGGTCAGAGCTCAGAGCTAAAATCTCACCCTTCCTCTTGCGGTGGTCCTAGCTCTCCAAAAAAGAGCTACTTCCTGTGTGTATGTCTTTTCACAGTCTTTTTTGTTCTGCCTTCTCATTGGTTATAAACCCAAACATATGACTGCTTCGTCACTGCCTGTATGTACAGCCCTCTAGGTCTTAAAGGCATGTGTCTCCAATGCTGCTGTATCCCTGAACACACAGAGATCTATGGGATTAAAGGCATGTGTCACCACCGCCACACTCTTTCTATGGCTCTAATAGCTCTGACCTCCGGGCAACTTTATTTATGAACATACATTTAAAATCACATTTCAGTACAAATAGAATACCACCATACAGTATCTCTCCTCTCTCTCATCAACTGGATTCCCGGAACTCATCCTGGTGCCTGGCTGTGGATCTCTTTATCTGCCTCTATCTGTCACTGGTCAAAGGACAGCTAGGTTATTTGCTAGGCTGGTCACCAGGGTAGATCAGTCCAGGTACCCTCTGGACCACTGCCAGGAGACCAAGGTGGGGTCAACCTTGTGGATTCCTGAGAGCCTCCCCAGCACCCTGCCTCTTCCTATTGCCATGAAGTCCTCATCTATCATGATATCTTCCTCCCTGCCCTCCAACTCTGTTCCTGGGTTATAACTATTTTTAACAACACGACTAAGGACCTTTTCTGGCCTTTGTGGGTGTGTGGCTGTTCACGTGCATAAATAAAGCAACAGAAATTAAGCTTGGAAAAATAGCAATCAGGCTAGTCCTTGTTATGGTTTTGCAGAAAGTTATAACTATTGGTTATTTTCTCCCTCAGTATTTTACATAGCATCTTCTAACATTATGAGAGCTAATCAGCAGGAAGGAGGCATCCAGGTCAATTCCAACTCAATTCCTCCAACTCCTCTGTCTGAAGATGGAGATGTTTTTACCAATAGGCTTTTATTTTTTACTTCAGGGAAGCAACCAATGGTGATAACAAAAGGTTATATTGCCCTGGATAAGGAGCTATGGGTAATCTATGGGTGTTGAGAAAGAATCAGTTTTCTTCAGAGAGGAAACTCCTGAAAGGTTATCCAGTCCCAGTTTGTCAACCCTAAACACTTGTGAAGACCAAAGTCATCAAATCCTGTGGAACTGCAGTTACAGACAGTTGCAAGCCACCTGAAGT